TGTGTGTGTGTGTGTGTGTGTGTGTGTGTGTGTGTGTGTGTGTGTGTCCTTTGATACTCCCTCTTTTCATCAGACTCCTAAGAAAGTAGAGGTCCACTCCATCCACACATATGTGGCTCTCTACAAGTTCCTGCCTCAGGAGAAGAATGACTTGGAACTACAGTCAGTCCAATTTCTTTGCATACTGTACTGATTGTGTACATGAGAGACATCAGATGAAAAAGGAGGCAGGGTGTACCTGGCCAACATTTACTGACATTCACACACCATCTGCCTCCTCAGCGGGAGTATTGTAGGGGGGTTGCAGGGTTTGTATTGGGAGGAGGAGGGGGGGGGGGGGGGGGGTGCCGGGAGCACGGGAAGGACAAACCACTGCGTTGAGTGTGTGACATGAAAGAAAAAAAAGAGTCTTTGTATGTTAGTAGGTGCAGGAAACTGCTGAGTGTGGTATGACACCCACCACTAATCTGGAGGATGCGTCTGTGCAAGAGGACCGTGCACGAGGTGTTTTGCCACGTGCACGGTCCAGTTTCCTCTGAAAGAAATGATAATGTCACGATGACATTTACAGTACTATGCATAACACATGAAAAATGAGTTAGACTTAGAGTTGAAACATATCAGTGTTGAGTCCTACCTGACTAGAGTAGCCTAATCTTCTAATTTATATATGAGACTCAAATTCAAAACATGATGTAAAAACTGTCAAAATGCTCCTCACGGTTGCTCACTGTGGCACATTACCTGACACGTATTGTCATGTGACTAACATGTTTCTGTTTAAGGAATATTTTAGCTGTATATCTCACTTTTATGCTGAGGTTTAGAAGATTGACACTCTCATGCCTGTTCACTCAGGAAGCTTAGTTTAGCTTAGCATCAAAGACTGTAAATTGTCTCCGGTCGTTATGCTAAGCTGATGTTTGCTGGCTGTAGCTTCCTATTTAGCATACCAACATCAACTCGGCAAGAAAGCATATTTTCCACGAACGTGGTGATAAATGCTTAAAAGACTCTATACAGGTCTTGGCCACAAGCCCTTTGTTTGACGGTGTTTTCCCTCCAGGCCTGGCGACAGAGTTCAAGTCACAGATGACTCCAACGAGGACTGGTGGAAGGTGAGAACAAAAACATTTCTATTCAAATCCACTGTAGTGAATAAAATATTCTCACTACAAATCTCTGCGTTACCTTTGAATAGATACGACAGTAACACACACGCGTGGACTTCAGTTAGCCGGTGGTACAATCGGTGTAAGTTCTGTCATTCAAAGCCGAGTTGATCAGAGACAGTAAGACTAGAGAGATGGTGGATGTGCTGAAAGGACGGCAGGTGTGGGTGTTGGCAGCGCTGCTTATCGTGAAGAGGAAGAAGACCGATTGCAGTCAGTTTTTAATGAGGCATCTGAAGATTCTTACCTTCGCCTACCAAAGGACGAGCAGCTCTGTCACCAGGGGAAAATACAGAGACATCCACTTTAGTAATTAAATAAATAATAAGCAGTGTAACCATATTTCTATAGATTATATTACTGGTGTAAAAAGCCCGGCGACCTGTCTAGGGTGTACCCTGCCTTCGCCCAATATCAGCTGGGATCTACTAAATTTAAAAATAGCAGATATTTAAAGTAAACTTGGATGAATTAACTTTATTATTATAGTATTGAGAGTAATTTCCACCCATGCAAACCCATTAAATTACACTTAATCCCACTCCTGCCATTATCAATGTAAACATGCCTCTGCTAGATGTGGAGGAACCGACATCAGGACACGAGCAAAACAGCTAACTTGGCAACCGGAGGCTTTGCGCGCCTGAGTGCCTGAAGAGAATAGACGGGGATTAGGGCTCCGCACATGCAGATGCTTTTTGGTGTAGTACTGACGTGACTAATTACGGAACAAAAACCATCTTTTTTTTTTCTGGTTGTTAGCTAATTGTGATGTTTTTTTTTAAAATTCCAAAGTGTTACTGTGATAAAAATGCGATGCATATTTTGGCAACCGGCCAAGTAAACAGAAACGGGAAAAAAAAATAATCTAATTGCGTACATGCTCATCCATAGACTGTAGTAGAAGCTGCCTGTGTTGGGTTTGCTGTTTGAGACGTAAACAGGCAGACGATTGAAATAGTAGTTCCTTTGTTTGTCAATGAGGTGGCAAATTGTGGCCTTTTTACAAGACTATAGTCAGCGTCATGCATTTATGTACTGCAAGCAATTAAGAACCTTTTTTTTCCCCATTTTAGCTGAAACAGAAAATATCTATTTATAACCGTATCTGTGATTGGGTGTGTTTAACAGGGGAAAAGCAGAGACAAGGTGGGATTGTTCCCAGCCAACTTTGTGCAGCGGGTCCGCCCCGGTGAGCGCGTGTGGAAGGTCACAGAAGGTTTCCACGGCAACCGAGACAAAGGCCAGATGACTGTGAAAGAGGCCCAGGTGAACACACAATTTTCCTCTCTCTCTCACACACACACACACACACACACACACACACACACATTGGATGCATTTTTTTGTATTATTTATGCAAATTCATGCAGAAAACTGCTGAGATTACAGAGGACAGCATGTTATGGCTTCCAATGCAGCTCACTTTTCGCCTCAGTCCACGAACTCTCTCACATTACTGAATGTCACTTGCTCCTCCTCCTGCTCCATGCTCTCTCCCCCCCCCTCCACACTCTCCCTCTGTAGATCTGTGTGGGGAAGAACGAGGAGATTGACGGTTTCCTCCGGCTGAGCAGCGGGAAGAAGAGAGGCTTGGTCCCTGTGAAGAATCTGCTAGAAATATGATGGCAGCACATTTCTCCTTGACCCTCAGTTCGAAAAAGAAAAGTTTCCTATGACGGAGGTTTACTCAGGAGTGTTTGCCCGACACATCACCTGACCGCCAAACACGCACCCCCACCCCTCCAAAAAGTGGCAGTGACTCTGCAGCTTGAGTGGACGACGAGCCACAAATTAGCTTTTTATTGCAGAAGCTTTTGAGACTTAAAGGAAGGGGTGGCTCCTTCAGAGCTACTTCTCTTGTAGCACAACTTTACTTTGTGTGGTTTTAATCACACTCACAACAGAAATGTAGCATCGTGTTGAAGAGGATAGTGTGCAGGATGTCTGGCTACCTCGCTGGCCATTTCCATTGGTCGTCCCTCTGCGGAAAAGGGGAGAGGACTACCTTACTTTGATGTCAAGGCGCGTCCAAGCCTTGTGAGCGAACTGTCTTCATTTCACTGTTTGTGTAGAGAAAACAAGACGTACGAGATTGTGAAAGAAGCTGTTTCTTATAGTGGCTTGTTTCATAAACTTTAAGAGATTTGGTTCAGTAGATTCAACCGAGGGTATATGTTATGATGATCCATTTTTGTGTGTGCAGACTGCAGCTCACATCGTGCACATGTCTGCCATCGTCTCATGGGTTTATGATTTGCATATGCGTCACTCCTGCTCCGAATAGAAAATGATTCAGGTATTACATTGTGTGTATGTAAAGATCTAAAAAACAGTCTTCTATGCTACATCTTGATCCAAGGAAAATCATAACACACACACACACACACACTGGGATTTTCTATATTTCAAACTGCTCTCCAGTGATTACATTACTGTACATTTGTGCTTTTCACAGCTCCGATGTGACGAATGCGTTGCGTGCACCTCTGGGAGCCTTTTTTTTTCTCAGTAAGCCCTTCAATGACAGTTTAGCTACACACCGATTTTTGTAGCTCACTCTGTCCCATGTAACTCTAAAATCAACCACTAGAATCTGCTTCCTGTCATTACAATGTCAGCGTTGTTTATCTGTATCTAAAGTCCTGTTATATTTGCCGTCATATTATTTTTTGTACTACGACTTGAGGATGGTGTGATATCTCGACTTTCTGATGCTTTCCTCGCAGAGCAGAGCAATGAAATACATTCAGGCTGATGGATAAAATAAACCAAACTCGGTGTTAATTGTCAAAAAAAGTGGTGACGGCTTTTCAAAGGTAGAGTCTCTCTCAGAATGTTATGTTTACATCTTCAGCTGTCTAAAATGTGCTGAATTCTTGCTTAATGGCTAATGTTTCTCCTCATGCGATTACTTTTAAGTAACTCTGACTGTTATTGTTTCTGTTATTTAAGGTCCAAAAGACAAAATCACCACACACCATTTGATTTATTGCTCATTGTAAACCATAAGGTAGTGACAAACTGCCTTTGTTGCAGCAATAACTGTAAATACAGATATGACAGTATTTGTAAATAGCCTTATGAAAATACTATATATATATATATATATATATATATATATATGCACTCTGAATAGCCCTCTGACCAAGAGGTTTGCAGCTATCCACGAGCCAACTAAGGGCATTAATCTCAGTTATAAATTACAGGAGATCATTATTTATTGTCCCACTTACCAATGTATGCATCCCTTTGCTCAATTACCATTCAGCCCTGTCAGCACAAATCTTATCAAATACTATGCACAACAGTTCTAGTCACTCACTTTATTTTGTACTTTGCTTATTTCTTGCGTAGCCACAAACGTGTCTGTATATACCTGTGCTTTTGCAACAATTTGAATTTGGACTCCAGCTTTTACGAAGTGTCCATCTTGGATCAGTCGGCACCGTGCTGATCCTAAACATTACCTTCACTGGCTAGAACCAAGATTGGCTCAGGATCAGTATTACCCAGGTGAATTCCCTGTCTCATCTTAATGCACATTACCAGGCTAGTTCTTTGCATGGCTAGCTGCCCTTTGATCCTCACATCTCTCAATAAAGTCAGACAAACTGTCAGATTGTGTGCTCTTTTATTTGATAAATAATTCACTCCGTTCTGTTCTTTGTGTTGCTCTGTCAAACTGCTTTTTTTTACCTCTTTCGTCCATAACATGTCTTCATTCAGACTAGAGGAAAGGTTTTACTACACATTTTCTATTAGCGTCTGCGGTTTTTATATTTTAAATTGACCACAACATTAGATAATGCCTCATTTACATTTTACACATTACATAGTTTTTTGCTTATACTCTGAGCCAGAAATCTCAACTTCAGTAACACTTACACCAAGTTTTCTGGCATCATTCCCATCTGTATTCTGAAGATTTGTTATTGAGGGGTTTGTTCATTTTATGTATGGCTGTTGACAGTATTTTCTGATTTAGGCAGTGAAACAAAGATATATCTAAAATCACTTCTTGAAAAATATTTGAATAATAATACTCATAATAAACAAGTGAAGTACTTGAGTAAATACTGGGTAGCATGTGTGTACTATTTTTTTTTTTTTTTTTTTACTCCAGTCAAGATCCCTCATATGGTCAAACTATGTCCTGTCCAGGCACTGGCCTTGATTGACACTAATCAGACTTCGTCCCGGGCATCAATTACTAATGCTGTCGAGCACACTTCTTCATGAGTTGATGTGATAAATTGCAGCAGGATTGGGCCTCATATTTCACTGTGTTTAATCAGGTTGTTGAAGACATGAACCTAAACAGTGACCTCACAGTGAAGGACACTCTATTCCTACCACAGGTATTGTTTACCATGTTGACAATTTTAGTTTGGCATGCTAACATCTGCTATAATGACACGAGTATCATAAGTACGTATGAATTTGGTCCTATGTATTGGGAAACATTTTGACCTGATGTGGTAATCGGTGTCTCTGCCAAATTTCATGGCAATCCATTCAATAGCTGTTGAGATATTTCAGCCCAAAGAGGTGGACTGACGTTTCCAGCCATAGAGCTGCTGGCATGACTAAAACACTATAAAGAAAAAAACATTTAAATGGTCCTTTTTTTCATCCTTGCACTTTTTCCTGTTAGACACAAAAAAAGCACAAATTTACAGCTGAACGTCTGCACTTTCACCTCATATTCAATGTGTTATTTCCCACCTAGATTCATAATTTGAATCCCAACAGAAAATATCTCCCTTCATGGCCACAGAAATACACTGAGATCTTTCATGTGACATGACAGTGCAGAGCCTGAGAGGACTCCTTGTTCTTAATGACCATAAATAATGTGATTAACTCCCAATAAAATGAATTGGCAACGGAGAAGCTGCTGGCAGGCCATAGACTAAGCTGGCAAAGAGAGTGTGTGTGTGTGTGTGTGTCTGTGTGTGTGTGTGTGTGTGTGTGTGTGTGTGTGTGTGTGTGTGTGTGTGTGTGTGTGTGTGTGTGTGTCCCTGCTGTGGTGTGAGGAACATTTCTCAAATCATGACCCAGTTCTGTTATCAAATTGGATCAAATGTGATTTTCATCTCTGTAGAGAGAGAGAAAGAGAGAGGGAGACATGTGTGCAACTGGCAGAACATCTATCTTCTCTTAAGTTTCATAAAATTGCTGACTTTGGTGCTCAAGATGGCATGGTGCTCTCCACTTACTGTACCACTGAGCTCTCTTTTTGTCTCTCTCTGTTTCATGACTATGAGCAGAGGAGGTTGAAATCCTTCCCTCAAAGTCTCTGTTTCGTTCTCTAACAGCAGCAGCAATAAGCAGAGAATGTAAGGCTGAGTGTCTGTCTCTCCCTCAGCAAATCATTTTTACTCTTGTGAGTATCAAAGAGGCTGGTCCGGAGCGCATCACGCCGGCTGCAGAAAACGAAGTAAAATGGCTCATTAAATGTGTGAGTTGTTGCACTGTCATCTCCTGCCTATACTCTTCACAGTCAGTTCTTTGCACTGTTAGAACATGGGCTTCAGCTGCATCACAGACTCGCAGTAGGGGTGATGATTGCAGCACAAGGGCGTCGACAAGGAGCAGGAATATAGCAACAATGCAAATTCAAATGCAAAATCCGTGCCAAAAATAGCACTTGATTATATAGGCAGGCAGAAGGATCAGCAAAGCACTGTCAGAGAGAAATAAAGCTTTCCGCTGCTTGGCAGACGTGGAGAAAAAAAACCCCACCTTACAGACCCCAGCATCAAACACACGCAAATAAAAAATAATCCCTCACTTCCTCTTACTGTCTGTTTAATTCAGTGTATGTGAGAGGATATTACACACAATTCTATATAAGGGTAGAAGACGGTAAATCCAACATACACTCTCATTTTTCCTCTTTTTTCACCAGCTAGTCATAAACTTTGTCTGACTGGCATATGGTCTGAGTAGGTAGCATACACGCTTTGTGCTTTTAGAGCTTTGCTGAACATAGCTGAGCCGTGAGACTGAAACCAACTAGTCAGATTCTGCCTGTCTCTCCCTGGAGCCACACTCCCCCAAAACCCGTGTATTTCCATTCTCTACCTGTCCACCAGATGCCCTCACACTTGCCCTAGAGTCATAACCTTCTCTGCACACCTGCTCACCTGTTTCCACCTTTCCTCATCAGCCCTCCAGTGTATCAACGGCCTATTCCTGTTCCCCTCCATTTCATCAAAGCTGCACTGCTGCTTTGTTGTCTTATGTTTTTGCTTTTGAGCTTCTGTTACCTGAACCTTACCCTACACCTGCCTATACCTGGGTCTGTACCTGCCGAAATAAATGGGAAAGAAAAACAAGTCAATGGATTCGACTGATGGTTGCAAGTCAATTTCCAAACCAGAGGAAATATTATCATTTCTTAAATCAGACGACTTGGGTGACTCAGGCTATCAACACTCCAGCTGTAACCGTTGATGACCATACCTGAATTCTGGTGTTATTTTTCCTCCTCCCCGTCTTATGTTGTCACCATCCTCAGGTTCCAGTCGTGTTTACATTCTTCCACACTGCCAGCCAACTGGACCATCAAAAAATGAAGACGGTACACAGAGATGGCATGTTTAATGCATGGTCTCATCTCCTGCCTCTGAGGCTTACCTCCGCTTCCTCAGTATGCTGCTTGCACAAACACGACATCAGTGACAGGAATGAGCGCCATGCGGCAGAGTCCAGAGGTAGAAGATGGTACGCCGAGTTCCATGGCTTTCGAGTCTGAATGGTGAAAAGTTAGCGTATATCCTCCGAGTTGATCTTAGAGGTTGAGCGGAGAAAATAGGCCCCAGGATTGAAACATGAAAGCTGCAAGCATGCTACACTGGGAATTTCAGATTTGAGGAATCGCATATGCTTCGTTGCTTCTATAGATAGAGTATTTTAGGGGAGGCCCTGGGCGATTTGCTGTTTATTCTCACACACAATAAAAAGAGATCAAGAGAGTTTTATTCATGACGATGGATGAGCTTCAAACCACTGTCCCCTGAACAGTTTCCAAAATCATCTTTCCATCTTAAAAGCATTGTCTTATAGATAAAACATTTATGAAAAGAGTGGCATTGTAGAATACACTGAAGAGCTCTGCAGGATGAAACAACCTTAAGGTAATAACTGGGTAAAAGTATGCATATGTATATTAATGAGTACATCAGAAAGAAATATTTGACACTTTCAGAAAAAACGTTTTGATCTATTTAAAATAACTATTACCAGCCTTATTCTATTTCGCCCATAAATTGTAATTTGTAATTGTATATCTCTTTGACAAATGTGTTTGTGTGTTGCTGCCGAATTAACTCTTTAGCAAACACAATCAGACGGTTCCTGCACTATATCCAGCATTACTGTAATTATTAGAGAAATCTGCGGATGCTTTTGATATTGTTCACAGCCGGTATCCAGTCCCAGAAATCAAACTAATTTTAAAAATGACCCTTTAAATCATGTGATTGATGGAATTGCTGCTTTGTCATCCTACAAGGTCGTCTTTGAAGTGATTTTCCACCAGTGCTTGGATTAATGTTATTTTGGTTTGATTGCTCCTGAGCAGCAATCATAACATCAAGCGCCTCTTTTACTCACATAAGTACAAAAACATAAGCTAACAGTATTTATCCCACAAATTAGAGCCTCCAACCTTGAAGTGACCCTCTCCGGCTCATGTGGTGAACATGCTGAACAAAGCGTGTCAGTATCATAAATCCCACAGGCTTTTTGTTGAGCACCACTCGAGTCTTTTCCCCTCTGGTGGACATGGGCAGGAGGGGTAAAGCTAACGCTCCTGCATGAAAAGGTACTGCCCCCTCAGATGCAATCACTTCCACTTAATGAGAGGCTATATACTTCCTTCCTTACCTTCTTTGGCCTCAGACATGACGTGTGCTTCCTGTGAGGTCATTTACTTCCTTAATGCGTTGATCCCGGTTCCCAAGAAATCCTCCATCACAGGATTAACTGACTACAGGCCCGTCGCCCTGACGTCTGTGGTCATGAAATCCTTTGAGAAACTGGTGTTGACCCATCTGAAGGACACCACAGGGCCCCTGCTGGACCCCCTGCAGTTT